GATTATTTGTGTGCCACATAGGAAAAAAAAAGAATAAAAAGCAGTGTATAGGTTTTTGGGCTGTATTTTATTTTTTCATTCAATGGAAATAGGTTAACGTTTTTGTATGTGATTTAATAGTTTTTTTTATTTATGTTTATATCTGTTTATTATAGCTAAACAAGCAGAAATTGTTTATTTTAAAGTGGTAAAAACTCAACCGTGTAAACAATACATCACTCACAGTTTGTTTCCCTATTTTACATTTCTTCTGAATTTTGTTTTCATTTATTATTTTATAGTCCTTTCATTATTTTGAGAACACTTTGCTTTACACAATATTGGATGCTTTTCAATTCTGAGCACAAACCTTTGTATTGTGCTGGCGAGTGCGGTGGCCTGGCGTGTGTTTAAATTCAAATTCAATTCAAAAATACTTTATTGATCCCAGAAGAAAATTTGGTAAAATTAGGTGTTAAAATGTTTATGTGTTCTGTTAAAATGAACTGTAAATTGTTTTATGTGTTGTTTTATAGCATTGTTTCATGTTAAGTGTTAAAAGAATTTATAAAATTATTGTGTTTAAAAAATGAGGGGCATGTAAATTCAACCCACACTCCATAACATTCGGTGGCGGTAATGCGCCAAACAGGGTTTGCCAACTGCCAAAAGAAAAACTCAAGAAGAAGAAACAGCAGGCCAACCGTACGCGTGACGTCATACCGTAAGCCAAAGTTTGGTACCACGTTTGGTTTGGTGTTGTGTTAACATCCAGCTGCTATACACAGGAATYTAAATGTGGTGAGTTTATTTTAAAAAGATGAATCTCACAGCTATGTCTGACTGTTTTGATAATATGTATGTTAGCAGGATATTCAGGCATTGTTTCGTTAGACCTAAAACTGCAGCTGCGGTGTTAGCATGCTAGCGTTTGTTTGCAGAACCCCATTCACATTCGGTGAAATTTCATGTTTGCGCAGTTTTCGACTGGTACATAGACCTGACACAAATCAAATTCAGTTTCCACTTTTTTCACCATCTGTCTTTAGTCGTTTCGGCATATTTTCTAACTCGATAAGTACGAGTTCCTTTTGATTGAATCAGTTTCAGTAAACTTGAGTGAGGAGTAGGAATGCGCGATATAAACGATATACGGTAGAAACGATATAAATTTCTCCTATGATAGAGATCTGTAGTCTACCGGCCAACCACGCAATTCTTTTTGATGATGTAACCGGCTGGAGTCAAAACAGAGGAAGCGGGAAGCAGCGTGGCTGAGAGCGCAAATGAAGAGAGGAAAAAAACTTATCCGGACCTGGTTCGGGTGTGCGAAAAAGAACGCCGAATTGTTTACATGTTTACGTGARGGCGCGTGCTCCCGACCAACCACACTGCCTGCTGCGGGAGGAGCGCGCGCCGCGGCACATGGCGCAGCGAGGCAACAGTCAGTGCAGGTGAAGTAGGGCTCCAGGACGCACAAAAGCTCTCTGAGTCTGGACCTCGTTTCTCCTGAGCTGAGTGAAGCTGACACCCCACCCACATAAAAAGTCCAAGCAAGTAAGCGGATTGCTTAGTGCTTCGTTTGTGCAGTTAAAATGAGCGTTTGTGCTATTATAGTTTTTGAGATATTTTATGTTTCAATTTCAGGCGATCACATGACCTGAATTATTTACATCATTACTTGCGGGTAACAGGTTTATTTAAGAGAATATAAGTAGTAAGAGCTAGTTCCTGTAGATGGCAGTAATACACCAAATGGATGTAATCTGCTGATAAACCTCACAGAAGAATGTCTGGAAAAAAAGAAGAAAAAAATGGCCACCTGCTGACTGTTCTGCACATCTCTTGACGTGAACTGATGATGTCTGTGTTTTGAGACCATTATAGTTTTATGTTATAACTTATAGCTAAAGTAACTAACATCTGATGCTGTTAAACTATTGCTGTTTCTGATGATAAATTTTTCAATAAATTTTGTTTAAGAAAGAATTTGGTGTAATTTTTTTAGCAGCTTAAATGAATTACATTTCAAATGCATTGTTTTTATTTTGTCAACCACATTTCTGTTCATAAAACAGAATAAAAGTGCTTAAAGTTTATAAAATAACATGAAACCTTTTTTGTAACTTTATTGATAATGTAC